GTTGTAAAGTACTCAGTTCAATATGTGAACTGTTTTTTTGTATTTATCTGACACTCTGGTTTTTTTATTTTTTATACTTTAATTGCATTGACACTATAAGTCAATTTGGGGATGATGGATTTCCTAGCAATGCTAAGATTTCCAGTTCATGAACATGGCACATCTCTCCTTTTAAAAGTAGTCTTAAACATATTTTTTATGTTATGATTTCCTATTTACATTTATTCACTGTACATCTTAATAACATACAATACGGTTTTTCAAAGCATGCATGCAGTGCATACCAATCAAGTCAAAGGTATTACCATGTATGTCATCAACAGGAAACTTTCCATTCCTTTCCAGCTTCGCATTTCCTTAATGTTTTCTTCCTGAGTCCCTCCCACCCACCAGTTTTCAATATAGAAGGCTTGCATGTCTGTTAGATTTATTCCCACTCATTTTATGTTTATGTTGCTCATGTGAAAGTTGCTTTTTTAAAGTTCACGTTTTCATTTCTTTGTTGATAGGATATGAGATTACAAGTTTTTTTTGTATAATAATTTTGTAGACTGTGATCCTGTAAAATTCACTTAATTCAAGTAGGATTTCCTTGTAAGTAGATTCCTTATGGTTTTGTACATATGCATGATCTGTTAATCATGATAATGTCTCTTCTTTTGTAATCTTTTTGCTTTTTATCTTTTCCTTACATTATGATGCTGGCTAGAATTCCAGTACAGTGGAAAGTGGAAATGATCAGAGTGAATATACTTGGTCTGTTTCCAATCTTAGAGGAAAAACTTCTAATAAGTCATCATTAAGTATGATGACAGCAGTGGTTTTTCTTAAGTGTGCTTTGTAAGATTGAGGAAATTCTCTTTATCCCTAGTTTGCTGAGTATTTTTTATCATGAATGAGCATTGAAATAATTATATAATGTTCTCCTTTGGTATGTGAATGTGATAAATTCCACTTATTTTTAAGTGTCTAATACAGGTACTTAGAACTATACATCTCCTTTCATTGCCCTCTCTAGCTGCATCCACAAATTTTGATATGTTAATTTTCACTTTCGTCTCATTTAAATCATTCTAATTTCCCTTGTGCTTTCTTCTTTGTCCCATGGGTTGTTTTGATGTGTAGGGTCTAATATTCAAATACTTTGAGATCATTGATTTCTAATGTAATACTTTGAGATTATATTATTCTACTCTTTTGGAATTTTTTAAGACTTATGAAACAGCATATTATCTATCCTATTGAATATTCCATATACACTTAAAAATAATGCTGTATTCTGTTGTTAACATAGGTTTTAAATAAACAACAATTAGTTCTAATTATTGGCATAGCAGATTCTACTGTTATTTAGAGTAATAGAATTATCTAGATAATTCAATAAATATATGAATAATTCAACAATCAGTGCAAAAAGCCTTTGAAAGATGACTCAGAGTACCCAAACTAACAATTAAGAAGTGACTCCATTTCAGGTGTTCATATGTGACCTAATATTTATATTGAGCCCTATCATCCTTAGATTTGGTTTCATGTTACAATATGAAATTTGCAACCAAATAAGTTATTCCTGGTCTACTAAATTCATTTAAATACAATGTATTGGGAGAAAATTATTAACAGATACAAGAATGCATGTAAAAAAGTGGAATGAGGGCTGGTTCTGTCGCCTAGAGGTTTGAATTTTGGCCCCCATCGCTTTAAAAACACACCAGGTGTGTGTGCTTGCATGTCCAAAATCTTAACAAAATGGAGAGATGGAAGAGAATGGATTACAGCATGACAATACACCATTGGGGAGTGTTTTCTCCCACATCGCTGGTGAGCACATGCACCCTCTGGCAATTTAAAAAAAGGGAAATATCTTATGAATGGTGTACCATAGCAGAGTAAAAAATGTCATTGACAATTCAATATATACTTCAAAAAATTATTATCAAATATGTACAATATAATGTAATGTTCCATGTCTAATAAGATTAATATGTCTAGATCCTTGATTTGATTATTCCATACTGTATGTTTGCTTTGAAAAATGGTACTGTACCCCCACAAAGATGTACAATGATATAGTAAACCAGAAATCACAATTATATAGTTACATAGTGTATCGTTACCTGAAATTCCAACTCAAGGCCAAAACTAGAACTCCAGAAAAAGTATGTGCACACAATAATTCTGTTTACCAACAAGCCTTTTCCTGTGTTGT